TAATGATTCTATGATTCTATGAATGCTTTTAGATCAGCAATTAACCTTTTAGTCTTCTACCACACAGGTGAGTATCTAGCACCAAAGCACCTTTTTCAGAATTCAGTACAGTCTTGAACTTTAGCACCAGAAAAGGAATATGGCTTTTTAGAAGGAGTGCTGCACTATATTCATAGTTGATTAAACTTTTTGAGCGTTAGACATGCATTTTGAATTGCAGGAAGCTGAGGAAAAGGGAGAAGCCATTGATGATTCATGGAGCGCTCTGCTGCAGGTTGTAGATTGCCTGAAGGTGCAGCTAGGTCTTAGGGTGATCTAGTGATGACAGTGCCTGTAGCCCCTGTTGGCTTGCTCCCTCTCATGGCTGGAGACTTAGGATATTTGCTAGCCCATCGACTGCCACAGCTCATGACACAGCCCCAGCATGGAGGCTGCACTCGAACAGCTTCAGAGCTGTTGATACATTGAGTGAGTTCAGCCACAACTCATGGATGATCTATTGTTAATGAAAAGGGCGTTTGATTCCTCACCAGAGAAAAATGACAGTACAAGTACAAGGTCTTTTTGTGGAGCAATAAATAGTCTGTTTCTTGAAGCTTTGAGAGGAGAGACTCTGGGAGGAAAAGCAAGACATTTAAAATGACAGAAAATAATTGGAGTAACTTCATAGAATCATTGTATCTGGCTTTGAAAAGAAATGCTGTAAGATTGCCTTGGGATTTATATTGCAACAGGAAATCATTAGCCTATGACAACATGATATTTCATCGACATCTTCTAAGTATACCCTTCCTGAAATGTTTTCCATTTTAAAGCAAGATTATGAGTTTCAGCTATACCAAAATCATATCATTCTCATTTTATTTATGTTGCTTCCTGTAAGACACAATTTTAACTACTTATGAAAATCTTGTGTGAATTACTTCTGAGATTTAAATGTTCCTTGAAGTAGAACTTAAAGAAGATGTGGCTGAGATCAACAGAGAAGACTTATATAAGAATTATATTTTGCTGTCATGTCAAAGCAGAGTTTGTAAAGAAAAGGTATCTTTTATTGGACGAAATGAAATAGCTGTATTTATTAAACTATATATGCCCAGGTATCTTGCCACTTAATTTACTTTAATAAAATAACAAAACTTACTTTCCTTAAACTGTTAGAACTATACACTGTCTTTTATACAGCATGACTCTTGCATAGTCTTGTATGGGAATTTTTCTTTAGGAGCTCCTTGTTCTGATGCAGATTTTTGAATGCGGAAGCTCAAGATATATATTAAGCTTTTGTGATTTCTTTTGGTATAGGCTATATGTGTGGGCTCAGAAAGTATGCAGATAATGTATCCTGCAATCTTCGACCAGCTGTTGGCCTTCGTAGAATTTTCCTGCAAGCCTCCACAGTATGGACAGCTGGAAACAAAGCACATTGCAAATGCAAAGTATAATCAGGTAATTAATTAGAAATCTTGCTCATTTCACTTGGCTGGTGAACCCAATTCAGCTTCAGATATAGGTTGTTTAGGAAGATGCATTTATTCCATCTGTAAAAACTTCGCTGTGCATGTTGAGTAATAAGTTAATTTATTAGTATTTTTTTACATGCTTTTGTTATCTTTGTTTGTTCCCTTTGAATTCTACTTTGCTTTTATACTTTGTGTTCCTCTGTGTAGGAAAGGTCTTGCCTGGACACCAGACATAGTGAATGTGTCTGAATTTGTCCAGTGGATTAATCTAAAATAACTTGTCCTACATGTGATACCAAATGTAATAGAAAAACACGATAATTTTGAATGGAGAAAATTCCCTCAAGCTGCAAATTTTTGAATTGCACGTGCTGTAGAGAAATAGGACATATTCAATAATTCTTTTTATCTGTGTACTCTGCTGTTCACTAAGCATGAGCATCTGATTCACTGTAATCAAAGAGGTAACTATTATGTATGTATTAATTCTTCTTATTCTGTTTGTCCTGCAACACAATGGAATCACACTAGATACAACTATTTGCACCGGTGAGTTAAATTTCCTTAAAGATTGTCCTAATGTAGTTGTCTTGCCTAGACTGCAACATTTCTCCTACTTAAATGTACTTTACCTAAATGTAGAGTACATTTTCATAGTCAGACTACGTTGTATTTGCAGTTTTGTTGCTTGGACCATATTCTTAGCAAACCTTGCATGCATCAAACTGAGAGTTCAATGCAAAACATACATTTTCTGTTCCTTAATTAATGTTTTCACATATAGTTCAGTAATTCACTAATTTTTTTTCCTAGGCGGAATGGGTAGCATTGAATTACGTACCATTTGCTGAGAGATCACTGGAAGTTGTTGTGGACTTATACCAAAAGACAGCTTGCCATAAAGCTGTGGTAACAGAGAAAGTTCTTCAGAACATTATTAAGGTAAAAGTTTGTCCAGTGTATGCTCTGAATTTAATGAGCTTATATTGAAAATCATGAATTTTATTTTGAGCTAATGTTGATAAACACTTTCTGGGAAGCTTAAATCAAGCAAATTGATATTTTATGAAGATGAGCAGCAGGTAGTAATTTCTTTTGAAGCTGCAAGGCTATTGATTAGGCTATATGTGTGTTCTTTAGCTGGATAATGTCAGCATCAGTATTTCACTGTTAAGATAAAAATTAACAAATTTGTTAGGCCACAAAACATTAATCTTTGAAGGTATTATGCACCTGAATCTGCTAAGCAGACCTCTTAGTAAATATGGCATTGAAGGCCAAAGACTAATTTCTGTAGACTGGCATATATACTTTGGAGACGTGTGGTCTAGCGATTACTTTTGATTTACTTTTAATGACTTTGTGTGTCATTGATGTAGCTATGAAATGTTACGGGTGCACAAATGTGCCTTTAAGGTGAAATTGCCAAACTCTTAACTTTTCTTGACTTTGTTTCCATTTTAGCAAATAATTTTGGTAAATAATAGAAGTAGTAGTAAATGTCTGGAAAAAAGTGTATGCGACCTAGGTTTGTTTGTAATGACTTGGCTGACATCAGGTTGTTTCTGTATAGAAATACAGAAACCTGAATGTGTTTAAAATAGTTATGGGTGTTATTTGGAATCTGTTATGAATTAAATATTTGTATTTCAAAGTAATGGAGTTGTTTTCCACTTCTGTTTTAATGGGATAGATGAAACTGATGTAAACACCACTTTTCTTTAATGCTCACAGTTGATAAGAATGTGATCTATTGCAGTAGATGAAAATGGTTTTAAAATTATTTTTCATGTCTCTAAAGCCCATGTTGATACTGGAATTAGATTTGACCCATATGAACAATAACAGCAGAAGAAAATATTCTGTTTATCTCTAGGGTTAGATCCTAGCTCTCATAATTTTTGGCAATAGAGAGTTTCCTCTTTCCTCCCTTTCCTCTTTCCTCCCTTTGCTTTCCTCAAATCAGAGACTTCACTAAAAGCATTGGGGGCATATGTGTAATACCCAAATGTAGTCACTATGTATCTGAAATGTAAATTAAATAATTAGTTTTCCAAGGTAACTTGGTATCAGGTTCTAGTTATTTTGACTAACAATGCTAAAAGGAATACATACAGTGTAAATAGTACCTATGCTTAATATTTTTAAACTCATTAATGACATTCTTTTATAGATATTGAAGCTCTCTTTCTATCTAAAATACTTAAAATTTGCCGTGTTTTCATCAGCTATACATTTGAGTTGCCTTGCAGCCTTTATCTTAGAATTTCACTAACTCTTTTTGTTTTTAAACTTCATGTGGCTTAACAGTCAGCAATGACCAGGTGTCTTGCAGTGGTTATGTATACAGTTCAACTTTTGCATATTAGGAAAAGTTTAAATTGAATGAGGTTTTCTTTACTGTGGAAGCACTTGGGATAGCTTTCTAGGAACAGGACTAAATACCAGAATACACTCATGATAACGAACTGTCTGCAATCTGTTAGATGTTAGGAAAGCCCATTTATCAGGCTTAGCAGAAATGGTGGATGGCAATACTGAAAAAGAAAATTAGTATGTAATTTCATAGTGTAATTGGTAATGGATCAACTCTGACTTCTAACCATGTAGTTGGCAATAGACCTGTGCTTTAGTCAGCTGGTATATGGTAAATCATTTTTATAATTACATTTTTAAAAGAGCATCTCATATACCAGCAAAAAAGGTAGGGATGTGTACTATCATCTATGACAGTGTCTGCCAAGATGTTCTGCAGAAACCAGTCATTTTCTTAGATTTGTCTGAGCAATTATAAATTTTGTTTTAACTTTCATTTTGCAGACACTAAGAATACCTCTTAGTCTGAAATATTCCTGTCCTTCTGAAAGCACATGGAAGCTAGCTGTTTCCTCTCTTCTCAAAGTTCTCTCTATCGGACTACCTGTTGCAAGGCAGCATGCATCTTCTGGAAAATTTGACAGTATGTGGCCAGAGCTAGCAAATACGTTTGAAGACTTTTTATTCACCAAAAGGTAAACACAATTTCCACCCCCACCCCCCCCCCCCCTTTTTTTTAAAAAAAAAAAAAAGGGAAAATATTTGTAAGTAATTTGGTCAGTAAATGCGTCAGTAAAGTTCAGTAAAAATAGCCTTATCTTTAGAGATACTTGATATCTGAAAATTATTTTAATGAGTGAAGGAAAAAAGGTAACCAGTCTGTCTACTTCAAAAAAGTATACTTTTAGAAAGTAGTAGAAAAAGCTTGATTCAAAAGGTGAAATGTCAGAGCAAGAAAGAGCTCTGAATACAAGGCTTAGCCTTTTGGACCAGGCCAAGGAATTCTGTATGGACTCCCAAGGACATTTACTATAGATTTGATAAAGAGTTACTGATGTGTACTCAATTTGTTCCTTTTTTCACTTTGAACAGAGTTGCAACAATAATTTTTTTTTAGTTAAGGTGAGAACCTTTAACTATATGTATTTCTCTTGAGTTCCATCTTGAAATATTCCGCTTACTATGAATTTTGGAAAATTATTTCTTACATTGCTGTTCACTTAGAAGCCCATAGTTATCTTGCATTTGTTTCTACCCAAGATAAATTGACTGCACCTTAATAATTAACCACGCTTTATTTATAATACTGTGTGAAAAGTGTAGCTAAATAGTCAGATTTATAACTAGACAGACAGGCAGATGTATAAGTACATGCATAATCTCTCAAGAATGGAATACTGTAGATGTGGGCATGTTGAGAAAGTCCAGAAGTGAAAAATAATAACAATCAGAGACTTAGACAAGCTGATCTATTAGTTTGTTCAACCAAAAGAATATATCATTAGGAAGATGTGATAAGTCTTCAGAATATGGTAAAAGATTGCTCCAGAGAAGAATTTTTATTGTCCCTTGAGAATGGGTAAAAATGCATTTCAGTACAGCAAAGATTATCTAGGTTAGACATTAAGGAAACCTTTTACTGTAAGGAAGGTTAGGTATTGCAGAAGATTGCTTAGGAGCGATATGGAATTTCCATCTTCTGTGAACATCTGTGGGTAAGCATCTTTTAGGAGTAGTTTAAGTATACCTAATAGTGTGTCAGATTAAAGGACAATGTGAAATATGAAAAATTTAATTCCCTGATTTTCTGTGTGCATGCTGATTTCAGTAACAAATTAATCTTTCTTTTTAATAGAAAATGGAAGAGTTCTTCTGTACCTAACACTAATATGCTGTGTACTTGTGTGTGTATAGCTTTCAAACATACAAAAATCAGCAACCAAACACAGCTGTATTTACTAATGATGAATAAATAGCAGCTTGCCCAAAACAGACAAAAAATAAATACCAATGAAACTTAATTTTAGAGACGCATCCGTTAGTGAAAACGTTTGTAATAATGAATGGTTTTGGAATTTCATCAATAGGGTTACATGACAATTGAATGAAAAATCTTTCTTTTGTTTTTGCATTTACTTCAAAGAAATATTATTAAATAGGAGGACCTTAAAATAAAAAAGCTCATCAAGACTACATAAAAGACACTTTAATCATCCAAGTTTTTCTTTTGATGCTTCACTGTTTCTTTAATTTAAAATAATCTTTGCAGTATCTTGTTTGGTTTTGTTTTCAGCTGCAGTTAGTAGTCCTGCTTCCATTCTGAAACAGGCAGTCCAGATGAGCCAACACCCTATAATCAGTATCATTGTGGGGTTTAGAAAATCAAAATGAAGGTTTTTCAGGTTATTGTAGAAGAATGTATGTTCACTTAGAAGTTACTTTGGGAATACGTACTACTATTTGCTGTAAATGAATTATTCCTAAATATCTGCAAAACAGATGAAACATATCCATTTTGCATGTTTTTAACTGACCCAGACTGGCACTGCTACAGTTTTTGGGTATTAATCATTCATAAATGCAGGGAAGTAAGATTATCACAGATCTTCAATGTAATTCAAGATAATCCACTATCATCTGCATGACCTTTTTGGACAATTATGTTGTCTGTTTTTCTCAGTTTACAGCGAGTGATTTATACTTTTCTTGAAAGTTGTTCCAACCATAGAAATTCCATCTTAACATGTTGCTTGCTAGAAACAATCACTGTTGACGTTAATTCTGATAGCTTTTGCCAGCTGTCATACATGGGCGAATATTCTCTGGAGGTAAAGGAAAAATAGTACTTCTGTGAATATTTATGATGCCCTAAAACTTGTCTGTCTTCGCTTAAGTCTGGTTTTGCTTCTTTAGAGACCAGAGTGTATTCTATAATTTTACATACAAAATGTGTTTTAGGGATCAGCATTTTCATCAGAATTAAAGATGTTCTCAGAAAAGTTATATGAAACTTTTCTGTTCTCTCACGTAGAAGCTTTAAGGTTCAAAAGAATTTAAAATATTAAAAACAGGCTGGTGGTTTATAGAACCATATGGCTATGGCAGGGTAATTTGGCCTGTTATTATAATTAATCATCTCTTTCCCAGCTTTTTATGAGTAGATTATTTTTGCTTATATAGTTGTACATTGTATGGCTATTGAATGTCTAGTTTAGGGTTGGGGTTTTTTTGCCCCCCAATGTCCATCTTTTTCTAAGTAGCAGTTTATCTTCCCAAGCGCATGGTTCTCCTACTTAGAGTTAGAGCCCTATCCCTTAGTAGCTTTAGGATAGATAGCCTTTCTGTTCTCTCTATCAGCCTGAGCCTTGTGGTCCTAAAAAATGTTAAAGCTAAGAAGGGAATACATCTGCTTCATGCCAGTAGTCAGGACAATTAGTAATAGCAGTCATTTCTCCTTTTCTTCATCCTCTTCCTCCTCCCCATAATGCTCCTGAAGCGTGCCTCTCTCACTGTGATGCAAGGAGGGCTCTAGAGATAGCTGTGGAAGTTTCCTACATTGAGGTAATTCTCTCCTGATTTCCTTTGGTTAAGTCCATCTGCACTTCTGTGCAAGATGCTGTGAAACTAGCTTTGGCAAATAGGACAACCTGTCCCTTTTGTGTTAGAATTTTCTAAATTGTGTCTTTTCGTGGATTGTAATTGCAGTATAGTCAGTTTCTTACATTTGTAGTTGTTCCATTTCTAAGTAAATTGAATTCAGAATTTTCAAATTTACTGTGTTCTTTCAATTTTTTTTTCTTTGTTATAATTCTAATAGAAAATATATGTTAATCATAGTGGTGTCTTATTCCAGAATAATTTGGGAGAATTTATTCACTGTTTTGAAAGTAACAGCTAAAATTTATTGCTGAGTTGAGGTACGTGTAAACCTTCAGATTATAGGAGAAGGCAATGGGAATGTACTTTCCATTCCAACTGTTCATGTCGGTCCTTAATTTTAGGCCAGCTAGGTGGTATAAAAGCTGTTTTTCATTGTGTTCCCTGATTTATTTATATTAACAATGAGTTGTGGTTTTTAAAACTTGTGGTTGTACTTGGATTTTTGTCTGTATCACCAAAATCAATTAACTAAGCCACAGATAAGATGAGAGCATCCTGTGCTCTTAGTTAGATTTGTGACTTGTAAACTTGACTTGGTTTTAGTGACCCTGCTGACCATAACTGTGGCTTACTGCAATTGTGAATCAGTCATCCGTGGTGGCTTTCCAACTTGCAAATATGCCATGCAGGACAGGGGGTTTATTAAATCAGGTGCAGAAGTGTACAAATCTGGCTGCAGTGCTAAAGACCAGCATGGATTTAAAAGGTTCTGGAGTGCAAAGGATTTGGAAAATGCAATTCAGAGGCACCCCAGGAGGCTATTGGTGAGACAGAGTAACAGCGTTACTGCATTATCTGCATTTTTACCATTATCCAACATGTCACCCCTCGTGAGAGGAATACAGTTAGATATATTCAGTTAGACATGAATACAGTTAGAACTGAAAATTTACTTTCTTATGCCGGCATTCTGTAATTTTTCCTAAGCGCTCTGCTTTAAGGAAACTGAAATGTTTTGTCACAAAGAAAGTTACTTTTCTTCCTTCACTCCTGTATACCTTTTCATACTCTACACTTTCCACTATTTAATGTTCTACATGTTCCATGCTATTATCTGTCCAGGCTTCATGCAAAGCTAGGTAAATATCTTCCTTTTGTACCTGCTCTTCAAACCCTTATTCTTCAAAGCTGACTTAGCACTGCTGGGATGGTTCTAAATATGAAATACCTGCATCTGTGTAAAACTTGCAAATGTCTTATTGCAGTCAGTTCTCCTAGCAACACTGCATAACAGATTTGGTTAGTTTTTCCCTCTAGCTTTGTTCATTAAAATACCCCAGTGCATATTGTCTCATTTTTCTGTGCACATTCTCCAAGTCTTTACCTGGCTGAGGATAGAGTAGAAAAATAAAACTCTTTCTATTTCACTGATGGTCTACATTTTTGATCAACATTTTAAAAATTTTTCTAATCTAACTCATAATTCTTCTAATCACTGATGGTCCTAGAAATCGCATGTGTAGATAGCCTACTATTGCTTCCACCAGGGAAACTGAGTTGGTATTGGTTAGGCAAGAGGTCACTGTGGTTAGAACCCTTAAATTAAAGCTCTGTGAATCTCTGTGTTTAAAATAGTGAACCTCCTCTGCATGGTCTTGCCTCTGTCTTTTGGACAGGAACTGGTTTTCAAGCCAGCTATGGGGCTGAATGAGAGGAGATACTCACTGATGTCTAAAAAGTACAAAGCACAGCAGAAAGGGTCTCTGCAGCTTTGTACATCAAGAAATTTCAAATATAGCCAAAAGAGCCCAGGTAAATGAAAAAGCAAAATGTTACTGTCATAGAGAATTAACAGCTTTCAAGCAATAAGCTTCAGCTTTTTTTTAAAGCAAGCTACAGCTGAGGAGGCTCAATAATCTTGATTTTTGGTATAAATCAAAATGACATTTAAAAATTAATACATTTCATGTAACTTAATTTACACAAAATTGTCTTCTAGTAAGAGCCTGGTCTGTTTATTATTTCATAACATTCTTCTTTCCCAGAGGCTTTCATGGAAGCATGTCAAGCCATTATATAAAATAAAATTCAACAAACGTGTGTGTGTATATATATAATTTACTAGAGCAGAAGTCTGTGCTCACATGAGGGAATTAAATCAATACTCTCCAAAAAGATGCTTCAGAGCAGAGTGCTGCTGTGCACAGCAGGACTCTGGGTGGCTGTTAGCTCTTTGTTGTTATGCTCTAAAGCCCTCCCTAGACAGTGGGCAGCGGCTGGGAGCTCTGTGCCTAGGAAACCATCTGCATCGCACTGCCTCTTCTCTTCCCTGGCTCTTGACCCTTCCGGTACAGTTTGGCTGTGTTGCATCAGACCAGCAAAGCTTTTGGCCCCTAGATAGATGTTTCATATGGACACCTTACTTAGGAGAATCTACGTACTTGGGAGTAATTTGCTACATGAACAAGTATGTAGCATAATCTGTAGCATATATGGCAGATCGGATATGGATGACTGGACAGAAAGGTCTTAACACCTCTTTAAAGTAAAGCCCAGCTCAGAAAGTCAGTCGTAAATCAGGAAGTGTCATAATGAAAGCTTCCCATGTATTTCAACATGACCTGCATTTGTATGCATCATAACAGGTTACACTACTATTTAAAGGTTTGCATAGTTAACTTCTTTATATGTTACAAAAGGTACTGACTGAACAGCTACTTAATGCTTTATTTTATTCTTTGTTTTCAACATATAACTCTAAACTTCCTGACTGCCTAACACACAAACCAATAATAAATACAGTATTTCATATTTTCTTCTTTGTTTTTTTTCTAATCATACACGTAATACTTGAGTGTTTCACAGACAGTGGTGAAGTTATCTATATAAAATCCCTTTGAGGAAGGGAGATATATTTATTTTTCAAGCAGGAACATTGGTACATACTGTCATAATTGTCAAAACTGAAAATTAGCTGTACGTGTGCAGACTGAACTTCAGGTATCTCATGCTAAGCACCCAGAAGATGGGGAAAAAAAGCCTATCTTGGAAAAATCTTACTTGACTTGGTCAGCATCATACAGGAGCACTGGGCCTGGGGGGGCTGGAAAAAAAACTTTTAGCTAAACTAACCAGATTTGAATGAGATTTAGAAGCCTCCAAAGTTCTTAAACCTTTCATTAAAATTGGCAGTAGGATGGAGAAGACAAGCCCAGACGAGTACCCTTATGAGGACAAGGCTGGCACAGGTCCACAATCGTATATTTGGCAGCTGCCTAGCCAGTGAGCACGTGCTTAGCTCTGAACTACCCACCACATGTCTGTTGTTTCCTGGGGAGGGATGTGGGGTGGAGGAAAAGCTGAGGGCTGGGGAGGGAGTTTGGAAATAAGCCAAAGGATGCCAGTCTGCTTGTCACTATGATACTGCACCGATTCCTCTGCTTACAGAACAGCTTGGTTCTTTGTTCAGTCCAGAGCTCTCTTTTCCTTGCATCTGCCTATTCTGTCATAAATTAGGCAGGGAATGTTGTGGCAGATTGACCCTATCATTTTCCTTCCTTTTCAGTAGTGACCATCCTGTGTACTTAATCAGATGGTTTCTCTGGAGGGGGGAAAAAAAAAGCATCGTCTAATTTAAGATGCATCGTAACACACAAGCATGCACAAGAGCAGCAAGTTGAAGTACCACAGGCAATCTTAATTCCAATATTTCTAACCATTCCTTTCAAGTGGTCAAAATTCGAAACTGTTCCTCAGCTTGAAGATGTTATAGTTATTTTAAAAAGACAAAAAGTAAAATAACGGGAAAAGAAGAGAATTTAATATATGAAATTATATTGACCTTATATAGCGCCTTGTCTCTGATTTTTGTGGTTAATGCTACTGGTTATTCCATTAGCTCTAGTAACATATTACCTTCAGTGCAAATCAGACACTATGGAGAAACTGAACCCACAGTCCAGTGGGTTTTGCAACTGTCTTTAAATTTCAGAGAGACATAGGCATGAAGATTCTGACTTCAGCTCTATGTCAGAAAAACAAGGATGGCGTAACTCGGTCAGAACAGACACGTATCTAGACCTATGTGCTGTTTCTGTTGGGTTAGTGGGATACCTAAGGAAGAGTGCAAGGTGACCACATAGTGGTATTTTCATGATATGCTCCTTCACCCTCCCAATTTAGCTCAGAAAGTTCTTCTACCACAGGTTGTCATTGGCTCGTAATCGATTTTTCTTCTAATAATTTTGCTAACTGTATGTTGAATCTGTGTAGATTGTAGCAGGCAATCGTATGATTATGGGATTATAAGCAAGGTATTTCAGAGTTTATCTATTGTGTGAAGTACCTGCTTTGATTTTTTTTTTTTTTTAAATTTTTTTTTTTCCCCCGAAGTGCAGTAGAAGCAGATCTGTAAAGCAAAACAGTCCATGATGAGGACCCATGACCCGCAGAGTGCTTACTTCAGGTGTTTTATTTCAGAGTAGCTCTAGTCTGGCTTCCTGTCATGCAAGCGTCTATGAGAGCTTGGAGTACATTTTTTGGTTTAGTTTCATTGAAAATGAATCCAGTTCTATGCGCTCTAAGACCAGACATGAACCAAGGTTTATAAACGGGGATGTCTAAAAGTTTAACTTGAAAAGCCCATGTCTGATCCAAACTAAAACACTGATGTAGGCACATCAGCTGAAGTAGTTGATTGCTGTCTAAGTAGGAGGTCTTTACTCCATCTGTCCTGCTGAGGAACTTGGCCCAATAACTCAGCAGAAGCATAATCCAACAGAGGAAAGGAATTTGAATTCACTGAACAGGTAGTCCAGTAAGTACAAGGAAGGACTCAATAAATGAGATAAAACTTCACCAGAGAAAACTGCATGACTGATGGTTGGCATAAAATACCCAATCAAATGACACAAGATTTCCAAATTTACAAGCAGGTAAGGTAGGATTTTATAAAGTATTAGGTAATTTTTATGGATGAATCACTTCTGGACATTTCATCTGTAAATAAATTTTTATACACAATGGAAGAACTGCAGAAAGTTCTGAATTTCTTCAAAATATTGTTTGTAAAATGGGTGTCTCTTCATAAAATTCATTGAGAATGAGAACAAATATATCATTTCAGTTATCAAGGAAAAAGACAAAGTAATGTCCCATTAATGAAAAGTATGTTTCATTAATGCAGAAGAAAATGTAAAATTAACATTTTTTACAGATCTACTGTTGAAAATCAAGTCTCTTATCCTGCAAAGTGAGAGAAAAAGTAAAATGTAATAAACTATGATCGCCTGATGATACCTTCACAGACTCATTTAAACAGATATTGTGACTTTTGCACATATAAGACGAGAGATTACTTTGAGATACATATGAAAAATGGTGTTAGTGATGCAAGTCCTTAATCAGGTCCATCAGTTGTAACTCTTCAATTTTAGTGTTTTACTACTTTTTTTCCTTTGAATCATTTTTATCATAATTATTCATAAGATTTTATTCTAAAATATTAATCATTATCATATAATAGTACCAACTTGATGCATGTAGTAGCTTTAAATGTAATGCATTTTCCCATACTTATCTCCTTACACGTGTTGTGAATTTAAAAGTATAACATAGTATGTTTATTTTTAGTACACCTCCTGATAATCTCTCAATTCAAGAATTTCAGAAGAATGAGAGTATTGATGTTGAGGTAAGGAGACTATAACAAATACACTGTTGAACATAATGAGATTGTGACATTCACAGATTGCATGTGGTTCTGAAATATTTTTTTTTTAAAGTTACCCATTCATTATTTTTTCTGTGATATTGTTCTCCTTTTTGAAAACAAGACAGGAAATTCCTAGGCTCAGAATTCAGCTGCTTCAGAGCTATGCAAAATGTAGGAAGCGGCATGCCAAAAACTACTTCTTATCCACTCCAGTTCAAAACAGCGTAGAGTGGCTAAACCAGAAAGTGTTTCTGCCTCTAACCCATTATCTGCTTCTCACGTGTTTTGTTATTGCCAAGCAATTACACAGGTAATTGTAAACCATGGAGCAAGCTGACAGTTAAACCTAAAGTGAGTGCTTTCTGTGTTGAGGGGGGGCATTCAGTCAGCAATGACATTGTTGCCCTCCAGATGTGTTCTCAATACTGAAAAGCTTGTGCATAAATAAAGAAATGATGTCTTGTTTGTGCACTACAAAGACCACTGTAATTGAAAAGAGATCATGTTTGGTTGGATAAGGCCGAAGAAAATTAAGAGATGATGATACTTGGAATGAAGAGGGACTAGTCCCCTTTCACTCCACGACAAAGTAATGTGGCAGACCAGGGATTAGGGGTACAAAGGAAAAGGAGTTGCAGAGAAGACATGGCAATATCTGTGGGTTTGATTGCCTATCATCTCTCTAGTGTGGCAGCTGGGACACAAGATTTCTGGCTGAAAAGCAGGAGCGGTTCTGTCTGCAGTGAGCAGAACTCTTGAGATCTAATGCATTAATTTATGGAGATCTAAACCTACTTTGGTCCTGAATGGGGGTATCAAGACCACGGATAGAAAGCATTTCAGTTAATGTGCATTGCCTTAAGCTTGTATAGATAATTAACTCAGTTGTTCTGCAGATGTCACATTGTAAGCATGTGATATATGTGTTGATGTCATAGTAAGGATATTGAATTGGGTGTAGGGAGAGGGAGATCCCTAATGTTAGACCTTCTCTTTTCAAAACCATAAATTCAATTTGAAGAATATACTTCAAATATCAGTGGAAATCTGAGTGATAACTGCTTCAGAAACTCTGACAAAAGTCGGGGGGGGGGGAAGTTTATTATTTCAAGTTTAATGTTACATGCAAGACCACAATTTTTGGACATACCTGCAAATTTTAAAAGCTAGCATTGGAAGACTGTGTGAAGTTTCATTAGGCATGTCTCTTTTGTTTAATGTTTCTGTCTTCTTCTTACTAGAATTACAACTTTAATATTCAGAAAACCAATATAAATATATTTCATTTCTTTTAGGTGGTGCAGCTTATCAGCACAGAGATACTGCCATATGCTAATTTTATTCCTAAGGAATTTGTTGGTCAAATAATGACTATGCTCAATAAAGGCTCAATACATTCTCAGTCATCGTCCTTTACAGGTATGGTACCTGAATGACAAAAGATACGGTGTTTAAACCTACTAGAAAGTAATGAAAATGTTGAGAGTACTTATTCTGGTAAAGACTTGAAGTTCCATGGCATGTATTCAGTATAGACTGTTTGATATCCAGCTTGTTTTTATAAACTATATTTTATTTCATGGAAGTTGCCGAGCATTCCTTGCAATTTTTTAAAAATTATTTCCTTACTTCTTGGTCAGTATCATATATAATATTGTACTTGCTACTTTATATTTATGCTTTCTACAATGTTTTGTATTGTGCCAGCTGAAATAGTTCTAATAATAATTTCAGACAGTTGTAAGACAGACATAATGTCCTGTTCTTAAAAACTAAATGACCTTAGCGTAACTATATGGCGTACCTAACCAGATACCTTCTCTGCCTTTAAGAAAAAACATCTATAGTTTTTTGCGAAAGATGAAAAAAATACACATCAGCCATTTCAGAGAAAAATATTTGGATTGTACAGTACCAAATATTAGTACTTTTGATGTAGAACTGGGGTTGCTGGTTTTTTTTTTTTAAATTTATTTCATATATATTTTATTATTAAAGCAATGTCAAGTAGGTAACACGTTATTGAATGTGTTGCATATTTTATCTTTTATTTTTGGAACTATTGTGATTATTGCACAGTCACCTTTTCTTAGAATGTATGCTTAGTATTTGTTCATATAGCTGTTAATCTTTTTTAATACTAGAGGAGCGATAACCTTTTTGCAAAATATAATAAACTGATTGAAATGCAACATTAGTGTATTGGCATGCATGCTGCACAATTAAATATGACATTTTACTTTGACAGAAGCTGAAATAGATATTCGAATGAGAGAGGAGTTTTCTAAGGTGTGTTTTGAAACGCTGCTCCAGTTTTCATTCAGTAATAAAGTCACAACTCCTCAGGAAGGCTACATCTCTAGAATGGCACTTTCTGTGCTCTTGAAAAGGTCACAGGATGTATTGCATCGCTACATAGAAGATGAGAGATTGAGTGGCAAATGTCCTCTTCCACGGTATGTACATTGTCTTTAGGAAATGAAAGGTATTACCAGTACTTTATGAGAAGAAAGTTGCATTCAAAATACCACTCAATCATTAAAAAAATATTGGGGAGGGGGGATGAAATTTAAAGCCAGGGAAATGTTTGTGGGGAAGACATTTCAAAGGAAATGTTGATACCAATATTTTGTTGAAAAAGCTTTAAATAATAATGGTAGTGTTCAGTGCTGTTACATAGACAATAGGAATGTGACTTGGTAACTTAACATTTTCAGTTACTGAAACAATGTTTCTGATACCTGTAACATAATATTTCTGAAATCTGATTTCCCTTTATTCCCAGTAGAGCTATGTATAGTTTCTAAATTGAGAGGTGGAGAATCTCCTTAAAAATAAGATAAAATATCCAAACAGCAATGTTGTGAATCATTAGTGCAGTAATTGTTCTTGAAACAGAAAAATTGACCAAAGTACTGGGAAATTCTTTAAAATGGGAACATATTTAAATTTCACTTAACTTTTGAAGGTTTTGATCATGAATGATGAAATTGATTATTTTCATGTTAGTCAGTCATGTACATGGGTATTTTCAGCTTGAGAAGTGTATGCTGTTACTGTTTCCAGTATCAAATTTAAAGCTATCCTAGCTGAGGCAACAGCAATGATGGTGGGAAAGTTAAAGACAAATGATAACCTTAATCTCTAAATATCCTTTTTTTGGTAGGCTTCGTTGCAGCTGTTTCCATCATGTGTTTTTTTTAATGTTGTGTAAGTTTCAAAGAAAACTTATATTCTTGAGACAAAAATGAGTAGTTGACTGTTTGCATTTTTCCCTTTGTAGGCAACAAGTAACAGAAATCATATTTGTTTTAAAAGCTGTCAGTACTCTCATAGATTCACTTAAAAAAACTCAACCTGAAAATGGTAAGTTATTTATTGTTAAACAACATGGTTATAAACAAGGTAACATTATATCTGCCACAAAGAGATATTTATTCTTTCCTGTCGTAATTTTCACACAAATTTGAAAGAAAAATGTGATCTGTGAGATTCAGTATTTTGTAATTCTGTTATATGTAGGTGGCAGGTAGACCGAAAAAAAACCCCACAAAGTTTTTCCAGTATACCTAAAAGGATAAGGTCCTAAGATATGTTTAATAAAATGGAAAACTTCAGTTTATGTGTCTTCTATTAGATAGACCTTGGTGTCTTCTAAAAACAAAACCAAAAACAAACCAAAAAACCTTCCATAAAATGTTAATAGAATTCTTAAATACACGTAGTCGTGCTAGATCCTTTTTCTTTTCATGATACCTTTTGTAGGTCGCTATGGATCACGTAGGTGCACTCTGCAATTAAAGGGATGTACAAGTTAAATGAATAGGCAGGCTGTTAGATACTTAAACTTGTGGTCTTGCCTTCCCTCCCTTTCTGCTCTACCTCTGATTCAGAAAGATGTCTTAGTTCATTGATGCCCAAGTAAATGGTTGACAGATGTATTTAAAGGGCTGAATTAAATGGAAGACCTCTACCTCATTTACAGTCATGCATCCTGTTCCTCCTGTAAGCTGCACCTACTGTATGCATAGAGAGTTCCCACCAGAAAACTTAGTCAGGAGTCTTAGTTAAACCAACTGTATTGGACTCCGCAACTCTGACAGAATTGCATATACAACACTTCCCTCTACCTCCCTGCATTTGATATTATGAGGAGCAGAAAAAACCTTTTCAATCCTGAAACAAACCAACCAGCCTTTCCAGAAGAACACAGGCAGGTGGGTTTCCTGAAAGAGGTGGTGCCTCAATTGCAGCATCAGTGAGCAGCCAGATCTATGATAATGTGGTTTCCGAGGCTGATGGCAAAAGGCTGAGGGCAGAACTATGCCAGGATACATAAAGCTTTCTGGCGAGCCCTGAAGGCAGCTGAAGTGCTACTTTGGTGGGCCTTTCTCTTAGAGAGGTAGAGTAGCCCACTCAGCTGGACTGTTCCCCACATCCCTCTTCCTGCAATGAGAGAAATTCTTCACCTGGTCCATACGTGGCAGTGATTGCCAGACCTCCTGCTTACTTTCTTCTGAAGAGAACCACTGGGCAAATTAGAGAATCACTTTACCACTTCTTCTAGCTTTTAATAGTTTTATTTCTTTAAGAAAATTATTAACATTGTCTGAAATCAGGCTTTTGTTCTCTTTTGAAAACAGAGATAAGCAAGGAAGTGACATAATAAATAAGATTCATGCGACAATGTTTAATTTCACTTGCTGGACTAACAAACTTTACCATGGATATTTTTGTGTCTTGGTCCAGTGTTTCTCCCTCTGCTTTCTATAGCTCTTGTAATCTGAAATGATTTGAAATTAATAGAAGGCCTCATTGCTGACAAATTTCCAAAAGTGAAATGTGCATCCAATTCAATTTTCTGTCAGTAGCTGAGAAAAGCAGGCAGAAAATGTATGTGTGTTACGGATTTAATAAAAGTAGTATCTTCAATTTGTCAGTTCTTCATCCAGAAAACACAGTGAATGACTCGCATGTAGAAACACAGGTGTGTAGCACCATTTTATGGATATCCCATCTGGCTTCCAGCTGCTGCAGCAAAAAAGAGTATGGCTCTCCTGCAAAAATCCTACATCATATCCGAGAGCCCTGTACAGATGTCATACTGTCTGTATAGCACTAGGTACCTGTGTTTAGGAACCTGCATGTGCCCTTCTTTACACAGGTATTGAAAAAATCTATTGTAAGAATTTGGACAGTAGTAAGTGATTCAATCTGTTCTTCATTGCAGTTGATGCTAACACATGGGCACAAGTTATTGCCTTGTACCCAACGTTAGTAGAATGTATCACCTGCTCATCCTCGGAAGTGTGCTCTGCTCTGAAAGAGGCACTGGTTCCCTTTAAGGACTTCATGCATCCACCAGCATCCAAGGTACAGAATGGAGAGTCTTGACCCCATAAAACTTTTTTTTATTTTTGAAGGAAAAAAAGTATCCAAAAATGTTTGTTCCCGGGTGAAGGCTCTCTGAGGAAATCCCTTGTGACTAGTACTTTGGCAACCAGTGCTGACTGCCTTTTAACTGTACTAACAAGAGCTCAGCAATTCATGAACACAGGCTATATCTCAAAGGTTCCAGAGTGAGTAGCAGTGCAAACCTTTAATAAATTTAACTGAATAGTTGGAATCATTTATAATCTAATGTACTTGCTACAGTATCTTGAAGTGGTGATTGAAAAGTGGGCTTATGTACAGCTTGTTGTGTATGTGTTAATGATGTAATTAAAAATATTTCAATTCAGTCAGATTTATTAGGCTGGTGTTTTGCACCCTTTTTTTGAAGTACGAATTGTACTAAAATTTTATGCAAGATGGTACTGTAACATTCCATATATCTGTAACCAGCCTTTGTAAACAAAGGGAACTGATATACTTGTGTGTATAATAAATGGTACAGTTCTGTATAAAATAGTTGCATTTATTATTTAAATTCTTTTTAAAATATTGATAATGTTAAATGCTTGAAAATTTATTTATTATGCATAAGTTGTATGCTTGCGTTTTTACTTACAGTTTGCCTTCTAAATTGCCAGATATGCTCATTCATATCTGATCATGATGTTAGTTTTTGCTTAATTGAATGTATCTTCTCTGTGGCCATTGGACATCTAAGAAAGGGTCATATCACAAAAGACTGCAGCGAGCAGCCAGTAGTCTGCTAATCTCAAACTTCAAAGTAGTTGACCTGAAATAAGTTTGAATATGCAGAAATCCACTGTAGCACTTCAACACTACCATACCTCACTTCATAATATCTTTGTTTCAAGATGTGTGTTCTACTCAACTCTATCCATTTTTGTAGTTGCAGCCTTGCTTTAAAAAAAAAAAACATATTTGAGGGTTGTTAGCCTTTTTTGACCTTCTTGGCAGGTATCACAGTCTTTGAATCATGACCCAAGAAAGGTGATTTCAAATATCTGAAATACTTGGCTGTAATATTTTGTTCAATAATTTTAAGTGCTTTGTTTTGTAATGTCTTTTCAACCCAAATTGTTCTAATCTTTTAATTATAAACTGTGTCTGATATAAAACCATGAGAAGTGTATTTTTGAAGATAGTTACTCATTTAGAAATGCAGTAAAATTTGTCATTAAGTAAATGTGAATTTGTTTCACGTAATACACAATCGAAGCAGAACACTTTTAGTAGTATTGTTTTTAAAGTTTGTGACTTAGCACTTAAACTCATATTATTAAATCATTAATTATGATTTCAATAATGTTTCACCTGTATTCACATATTTTTAACCTGTGATGTGAAAGCACAAAGGCCAAATGTAAAAAAAAAAAAGACAGGTGCCTTTCTATGGATTTCAGAATTTCAAAGCTTACCTTTAGGTTTTTGTTCCTTAAAGTCTTTTGTAGATATTAAAAGAGATTATCATGCATAAGAAATGGTATTATATCTGTTTGCTTTACACTTTCCTGGCTAAAGTGACATTGATTGGTACACGTGAATAGGTGTAGAAGTTGTAGGAGCTTCAAGTTGAAGGTGTGATGAACTGGTCAGGGTTAGAAATACCCTGTGTGAAAAATGTTATACAAGCGCAGCTTTGAACAGCTTGCTCCCATAAAGCTCCAGTTTATGGTCCTTTTTAAAAGCTTTCTGTTTCAAAGTACAGTAAATATTAAAGAGGTTTCAAGATCTTGCACGTTTCTCTGTGAGCAAAGTTGCATGGAACTTAATCGTCAAGTGTGGATAGCTTTTAGAGAACACACAGTTTGCATTAAGGAAACAAATGCTTCCCATTAATCGAATTTATGTCAAAATAGCTTATATGGAGGAGCCGTTCCAGGATAATGCAGAACTGGGTCCCACATACAGATAACAACATTATCCGCACTCTGAAAGTGAAAACCTGGCAACTGCTCTCTTAATTAATGGAAGATTAAGTCAAGGTCTATGAGGTCATTAAAGAAACAAAGTGTAGGGTGGGAAAGAAGAGTATTAATTTGGTGTAGAATATATTATCTTAACCAGAATTTCTAGAAAGAGGTGTGCAGACCAAACTGTGGGTGAGTTTGTTTCTAATTAGTTTCTAATTGGTTTTTCAGTGATAACACAGATGCATTCTGTCCACTGAAGCAAATCTTCAGCTTTATCTCTATTTTAAAAAGGGGGTGTATAAGTCATTCCTGACTCTAGAGCTTAGAATACTTTACCACCTATGGACATTAATCTTCAAAAGGTTTTGAAATAAACTACCAATGAGCTAACTTTCCTTCCTTTCCTCTTAATTAGAAAATGAATAATACCTGTGCTATTTGAGGCATGTTTTGGACATGCAAGCTGAGGTTGACCATATTCAAACTGCTTTCTTGTATTTTGTATAAAAAGTTTGAGAACTAAAAAGAAAGCTACTTAGTTTAGAAAAGAGGTTTTTCATTGACTAGTTTTGTCTGTGAATAAGAATTATTCCCTTTATTGTGCCTTCTTGTCCAGCACTCAAATATTTCTTCCAACTTGAAGTATCAGTTTCTTTTTTCTATTTGTACTTTTTGCTAAATAGTCTTAGGGCTTCTTTGATGCAAACAACATTTTTGAATATTTAAATTTCATATTTTTACATGTTTCTAGCAAGGTAAATCTTGTTCCTGAAGAAATTTAATTTGATTTAATGTTACCTACTGAGTAGACCCATGTTCAAGTTCTTTTCAAGTCTGTAGGGTTGCTTAGTCATGAGAAGTAAAACACGTGGACATTTTCAGGATTGGGGTCTGCATTGTGTCACTGAAATCAGCTAGAAAAGGGGTACAGCTGACTGTTTTAAGACAACTTCTGTAAGAAAGATAGTGAAATTAAATATTCATGATTCTTAGGGTGGAGGGAGAACATCAAAGTAAAAATCGCTGGACTACAAGAAGGCAGACTTCAGAAAACTTGATAGGTAAGATCTCACAGAAGACAAGTCTGAGGTAAGAGAGGAACTGAGGAGATAAGACCATTCCTGGGAGATGCGAAGGTCGTGACTGAAAATATATCCCAGTGCAGGTGACGGAGACTATCTGTAATAAGAGACCAACGCAGTTAAATGAGGAATTTCATTGACTTCAAACACAAAGAGGGGAGGCCTACAGAAGGTGGAAGTTCAGATACCACTAAAGAACAGTGGTAACAGATAGGGATGAAAGTAGAGGAGATACAACAGTCAAAAGACAGAGAATAAATACATAAGTAGTAAAAGATTTGCACTAACAAAAGTGCTGACTACTTAAGAGGATGGCTATTGACATAGCAAGTGATCATGTGTTTGGTTCAGAATTGCGATTTGTGTGTTGAATTTTTTGGTTTGTTATAGTGATGACTAATTCAAAAAGTCAAAAATCAACTGCCAGTGTATTGCTCATGCAATTGATATAAGCGACCAAGACTGAAGAAGCTTACCTAGAAAAAGGAAAACAGGATAGAAAATAGTAAAATGTTGTCAAAATTGACTGGGCCTGTAGAATTTCTTCCTGGTATTTAAAGAACTAATCTGAGGAACTTCAGCATTTTTACGATCATCTTTGAAAACTAATGTGAAACAAGAGAATTACCAGATGACTGAAAAAAGCAAAAACAGTGCTTTAACTTTTTAAGGACAAAATGGAGGAGAAGATGGAAATTCTAAATCAACTGGTCTGCCATTGATTCTTTTTTTTTTTTTTTTCTGACAAGTAAAAGTTAAAATGTGTTGTTAGCATCAGCAAGATATCTATGACGTGCATAACAACTGATAAGTATTTGCTATGATTAAGTCACATAAACCCAGTCTAATTTCTTTCTATGAAAAAGTCACAGATCTTGTGGATGGGGGTAAGAACTAGTTGCTAAATCTTTATTTTACTAAGGCTTTGGACACTGTTTCACATGACACTTTTGTAAGCAAACCGGGGAAACAAAGTCTAGCCAAGCAGACAGGACCCTAAAAGCAACTATTAGCTGATCACGGTCAGAGTGTGCAGATTGGGATTCTACATGTAGCTTCTCTGAATACAATATAAGGACAAGAGAGTGTGCTTACTAAATCAATAGCAAATTGACGGATGTATTACAAGTATGCTAGAAAACAGGATTATAACTGAACATCTCAACTGGTGAAATGGTCTCCCAAAAACCAGGATGCAATTCATCAACATGACTGTAAGATGCTGCTGTTAAGCAGCAGTCAGCTTTTTCCATTTAATTTTGCCAGCTTTCTTGAATAGGAGACTTGAATTTCAAAACAGTTTTGATGGTTTTCCTTAGAAAATTGCTCCAGTGTTAAAGTGGCTGTCAGTGCAAACAGCTGTCATTAACACCATCAAGAACTAGATCTGAAAACATGTTTTGCAACAGATTCTAATAATAGAAGTATAAAACTAGTCTTAACATCCTTAAAGCAATTAAAAATTAAAATTTTATATCAACTTTTGAAATGGATAGATTTCTGTGCATAATTCATAATTTTATAACATTTAATCTATACAATGATAGCATAATGGTCTTTAAAGCATCCAGTCAAAACTTTATTTAAATAAATCTTCATTTTTCAGTTATGTATCAAACACCTGATCTCTACTCACACTGTTTTAAAAGATTTTAGCTAACAATGTATGTTACGTCATAAAGAATTAAGGTGTGTATTAAAGACAGGATGGAATTCTTGCAATAAAAATAGTACTGAGTGATATTACCAGCAGAGAAGGGGTTTTGTGTTGCATTGTAGAATGCATCAAATAGAAGAACTACAATGCATTAGTTACCATCCACTTTTCTGATTCAGAATGCAATAGTCCTTGTGTCCTATCAGTTAGACAGTAACATGCTAAAAACTGATCCTTGTATTTCTGAGGTCCTTACTATGTCTTGATTATGAAACAGATTTGATAAAAAGGGTAAGATACCTGTGTGTTTACTATACTAACTGCAGCATTTCATTAGCAAGAGATGAGTGTTCATTGCTTGAATTTCCTTTATAATTTATGCTTAGAGGAGTTCTCAGATAAGCTTATTTTTAAAATCAGTATGATATGCTTTTCTCTCCATGTTAACACGTTTGTTCCCACTGGTGGTCCACATGCCTATCTTAAGAACTTCTTAAGGAATCTCCTCGGTCAGCACCATAATCCTCTTTGCACCTGAAGCATGTTTCTTAGGGAAAGGTGAAGTTAAATACAGCTACCATCTTTTTCTTCAATCAAAAATACTGCAATGTTGAAACATACTCAAAGGCCTCAGGCCATACTGCCTGTCAGTTTAATGTTGTTGAGGGTTTTTTGGTCTGTTTTGTTTTCAGAAGGGATTGGCAATAGATAAATAGGAAAGAAAATCCCTTGTAAGTCAGGTATCTGTTTGGCAGCTTCGCAGTTTTGTTATTGAAGACCCTGATCTTCAAACTGGAATCATAACTGCTGCTCTCTGTGTACAGAATATCTGCCTTAGACTTGGCATGAGTCTCCATGGCCAGTGATATTTCCGAGGTTGACAGCTTCAAGACTGCAGAGGCTGGTGAGGATGAGAGACTGTTTGAAGCTTGAAACTTGACATTGCCTGGTCTGTTGTTTTTAATGTTAACTATTACTTACTTGGAACTATTAAAGTTGCCAAGGAATTGCTTATGTTTCTGGCTTCCTTGCCAGAAGACTTACACTTCTTTCCCCATCACATCACAGACTAATGCCTGGTCATGAGGGGAGGGACTGAGAGGCTCCACAGAAAAATGGCAGTCAAAACTGGATTGCCACCAACAGAGGACCTTTAAAAAGCATGGATGGCAGTCTGATTTTGATCAACCTCTCTTATGAGAAAACATGGAAGGGGACAGGAATATTATGTGCATAGTACTGCTGGCATAGTACTGCTGTACCAGTACAAAGAACTGGTTTCTGGAGTACATCACAACTATTACTTGCAGATCTGTTCATGCCTCAGGGCTTGGCGTTGCAGCATAATATGGTACTACCTTAAGACTGAACTGAGCCCCAGAGTCTGCACATAGTACTGCCCTCGAACTAATGAGGGAAGATAAACATTTATTTTAGAAAAGACTGATTTAAATTAAGTATTTTCTCTTAAAATATGAAATCAATAACCTCTGTTATAGCTGTATGCACTATAATGTCTTAAATTTAAGTGGTTATGTGTTGCCAAAGTCTTAAAGAGAATGCACTGAACTGATAAATGGCGTAGCGCAAAACCTTCCTCTT